AAAATTTTTGATGTATGTACAAATGTGGGGGGTCAGTTGTGAAAGGGAGGGAAAACTCTCTGGTGGAGGGGGATTGGAAAATGCTTACGTGATGTTCAAGTTTTGTGTGAAGGTCGCAGGGAGGTTAGGGAGGAAAAAGCAAAGAGGAGTTGGACAAGTCAAGTCAGCGCATTGTTGCATATGTAAAGAAAAGCCTGGAAGCGCGGGAAATCTTCAAGGGGGAAGTGCTGTGAAAATGAAGATGGAGACGGCGCCTTTGTGTCACAAGTTGCCAACACATATTTTCCAACTCCACGAAGAGTTCCCCAGTCAAACTTAAAACTGTCAAAAGTTTCGCCGTCTCTTTTCCCTTTTTGCTACCATCTCTTTCTCCGCTCCTCTACCCGTCTCTGTCTCCACGTGAGGCATCCACATTTGGCCGCCTGTCAACAGCTGCTCCTCAAAAGCGGTTCAATATTGATTCAACTTTCTGGCCAACAACTCGGCGATTAAAAGCGCATTTAAAGCCGTGAAAATGGGGGGTGATTAAGGGTTAAGGGATGCAAAAAGTGGTGTTAAAGGGGGAGAAAGTGGTTCAACCACATGCAATTGCATCTTCTGTTTTAAAGGAAGCTCTTCTAAAGCGCTAAACCCTTTGGGAACCCAAATTGGATCTTTAAAAACACTCTCAACTTTTCACTTATGTTTATAAACTTACTTATAAAAACTTACCCTTATCATAATATATCACAAATTTTAGACCGAGAAATGTAATAAAAACCATCTCTTTAAATGTATTTTAGTTAAATATACTTATTATATTATATTTACATAATTATATATCCGTTTGTTAAGATCGGAATATTAAAAAAAAGTACATGATTTTTCATACTATAACTTGTATTTGTAGGTGGAATAAAACCAAAACTTTTTAGTGTCATGTAAAAGGTTACGGATCGAAAGGGTTAAATCTCCCCTAATCACCTTCACCGGCCACACCATTGAATAGCCCCAAGGACAAGCAAACAACAGCTGCCTGCAAGTATGCTACAATAAACTGCACTGCAGCTGGTACAGTACAGCCTACGACAAAGGACAATGCTGAAGAGGTTTTCCCATAAAAGATCCTTGAACCAGGATACACTGTTTTCAGGGGAGTAGACTGTGTGTATGTTACGTCCGCCGGTTGTTGCGTGTTTACGCAACGTAACCAAAGTCAAAACCTCGATTAGGATTCAATCTGCTGCTGCGGGCAACACTGGCTACGTTGTTTGTCCTTGTTGTTGTTACCCCCTGACCCCATCCCATCCCCAATTAAATCCCCATGCATTCCCACATCCCCTTCCAAAGAATTCACGCAGGTCAGGCAACAAAGTCAAACCGATTAAAACACACGCACGGGGTTAGAGACAGACAAGTCACGGATTTAAAAAGAGTTTGGCACTATGAGATACCGAATAAAAAGGATATTATGTTGGATCCATAGCTCAATATGAACTGAAATAAATTATAATATACAATTAAGATTTTATTTATATTAGATGATCACTTCGAATTGGTTTCTACGTTTTAATTCCTATCAAAGTGGATACTGAATTATGTAGAGTCTTCTTTATAATGTGAAACCCCAAAAATCTTACAAATCTTACTGCGAACCTAATAAAGATTTGAAATGAGTAATCATACCCTCGATGCATTAAGTGATTACAGAGTACAGCGAGTACACAGACAGGACCTCGGCTCCATTGTCCGGCCGTGTCCTTTTGTGTCCGCATAGGTAGTCACAGTGTAGTCCACTTCGAAACAGAGGGGCTCTGAAACTCCGGAGCGGTATTCTTCAAGGGGCAATTAACTGTTAAGCTTCCAAACAGCGGCAGCAAAAAAGTGAAAAATCAAGCAAAAAAAATAGTTGTCTCGCTCGATGGAGCGGTATTCAAGGGATGTGTGGCGGGACTTGCATAGATTAGATTTCAGCTGGAACAGGCTGACGCCACCCGGCCACGCCCCCCTGTTCGCCTATCCGGGAATCCCCGATCCCCGTGCAGTGGCGAAATATTTGCAGCTGCCACAGAAGCGGGGACCGCACACTGGCGGCCATAAAAGAGCCATTAACGCCAGGAGTTTGGACCAGCCACCGCCCTCCCTTCGACCCCTCCGCACGTCCTTGGGGATAATTTAAAGCGCTTAAATTCAGGGCGGTGGAAATGCTTGAGTGGTAACTGTCAGCGACATTAGCGCATCCAATTGCCAATTAGCCAAGGTGCAAGAAATTAAATTAAAAACCGCAGAAAACAGCGAAGAAATCAAGAATGAACAAACAAAAAAAGAGGGTGTGACTTCACCTTGAAGATTGAATATATTTTTGGGAAACTCCCCTCCTCAATTGGTTGGTCTTACCCAAAAAGATGCCAAAAAAGGCAAAAACACCAGCGAACACGAAACCAATTTAAAAGAAGAAAAAACCAAAAAAAAAGTCATTGAAAGCCAAATATGTATAGCTCGAATAATAATACTCTTACAAGTTTAAAACTAAATTCTTTAAGAAATACATTTTACATTTGGTTTAAAAATGTATTTATTTTTTTATTACCCTATCTAAGAACGTTAGTTGTTTGTAATATAATCTCTTTTTGTTTTACTCAAAAGTCTTTTATTAATAAGATAACTTAAAACAAATGCATACATTTCCACCGAACCGTAGACATTCGAAGGACACTCATCAAGGAGCAAGGACACGACCACGCCCAGCTGTCTCAACAGTCTAGAGCAAATTAATTTGTCGAGTGTCCGTTGCAGCCAGAGAGCCTTGAAACGAAGGCCACTCTGAAGGTGCATCAATGAGTTGACAATGTGGAGAAGATTTTCCTATTTCCCCCATCCACCCAATCCCTCTTCCCCCGCTGTTCCACCCCATATCATTGTGAAAATCTTTCAGCGGAAATCTCAATCTGCGCTCGAGCAAATTGTTGTTTAAATAAAAATTTAAAGCAAATTGCTACGCGGAAGTAAATCGTTTTGTGGTAATGGCGGATAAAAAATGTAAGCCACAGCATATCAAATTACCCCGCAGATGGAAGAGGACATGGAACCAGATGACAAAGTGCGCGGTTTCCCGAGGAGGGGAGTGTAACAAGGTGTAGCCCAAAGTAAGTCAGCTCCTTGATAAGTGGAGATTGGCTGGGGGTGGATTCATCCCGGGATGCGGTTGACAGTCGGGCGCGTTTTGATGCGATGCTGAAAAATTGTTGCTAATTTTTTAACAGTCAACGGAGACGGAGTTCCGGAGATTCGGGCAAAGAGTATCGCATTTCAGGGGAGACGCCGTCGAGTGCAAATGGTTGGCATTTTAATTTTATTAGAACAGGAGCAACAAGCAGACAGGGAATCTTAGAAAATCCCTTAAAGGGATTTTGGGTTGTAGATCTATCTCTAAGATAGAAGCAATAATGGAGAAGCAGTTGTTATTGTTGGCTTACAAAATTGTTAATAAATTGCTTGGTATCAAAATTCATATGAGAAAACTCTTTTCAAAAAAACCCATTCCCTAATTACAGTCCTTTAAAAAATTTTAATAATACATCTAAAGATTTGTTAAATGTGATAAAAATATAAATCATTAACAAGTTACAACGTGTTCAACTTTGAATCCTTTAAAACTAAGTCAAAAATTTGAGATACCCAAAATGATATGCAGAAATTCCCCGGATGAAACAAATGCACCTTTCAGCACAGAAACAGAAGCTCATTGTCTTTTATACAGCTCCCCAACCTATTTCCCAATGCAATTTAAGCAGCCGCAGAAAAATGTTGCCAACACATTTCGCACACAGGAGCAAAAAGGGCAGACGAACGACTTGAGGGATTTTGCTGAAATGACATTTGGCTCCGCATGTGACAGGATGTCGAGGAGTAGGAAGGGCAGGAGGTACACCCAGTACAGGAGCAGCCGTTGGCATTGAAAAAAGCAATTTAAGTCAAGTGCAGAGCAGGGCAGAGGAGTACATGATATAATCACAAGGTAGCTAGTTGGAAATCAGTAGTAAAAGGCCTTGGTTACTTGTGCTTATGCTCAAAAGGCCATCACAACATAACTATTTCAATCATATTACCATATATACAAACAAACCTATTATTATCTATCTGTTAAAGCTGAGAAAGGTACTTTTTTCTCAAAATAATTAACCTGAAATTGTACCTAGGTAAATGAGTACCATTCCCACCACTTGTGGCAAGAAAACACAGTCAAATGCAAACAGGAACACACGCATGCCAATTGTAGCCATCTTCCTGCCCTTCGCTCCCATCACTCATCCGCAGGGTGTGCGCAAATTTTGATAAATTACCGCCGTTACCTTTTGGCCAACAGTTGTCGGGGGAAAAACCTGCATACATATGTTGTCTGGCAGATGAAAGGACTCAATCTCGGGAGGTGAAATCAAGACAAATGCATTGCACTGTTCAAGGATAAAAGTGCACGCCATCAATCTTAATTGAAAACCAAGTCGGCAAAAGGCAATGGAATTGGAAAACTTTCCTTTATAGAGCCAAACAAACAGGAAGCGAGCAAACAATAAATCTGGCAAATTATTAGCAGCGCCAATCGAAATCGAAGTGCAAACTTCCAAGGAACTCTCGAAAGGAATGGGGCAAGATTTTGGGGCAAGGGGAAGAGTGCTTTCAGCCAGGCGTAATAAATGGCAACCAGAACCACAGGGAAGTTGCGAGGTAGAGAAGTATGGCTAATTGAATTTAATTGCCCACTTAATGGTGCAATGAGCTGATGACCAATGCCAGCCAAGAAAGAGAATCGAATTGCGAAACGAAGTTCAAGGTATTGAGCGAAAATTGGGAGGAAAACTATTAAGAGAGGGGAGGAAAATGACTAATAAATAACGATGAGTAATTTAGTACACACTAAGTACTCAAAATAAATATTTTGAATATGAATATTTTATTGTAGAGTTTATAAAAACAATTAATAATAATTAATTAGTAGAGGACCTCAAAAAACTGATCCGTATTTATTACAATTTATTGATTATATTTATGTTTTGTTGGAAAATATTTTGCTGAAGTTACGACTGCGAGGAGGCAGCATGGTGGGAAGAAGGAACATCTGATCTAGTTCGTGAATCCAGCGTGTCATAACTATAAAATAATACATTTTTATAAAAGGAAATTCTAGATAATAACTTCTTTTCAGCTCACCCAACTTCGTGCCAGATATCAGAGGACATGCGCCGTGAAAGGTGCGTTCATCATAGTCGTAGGACTCGCCATGCAAGTTGTGCCAAAACAAAGCCGATCCCTTCTGAGTTGGCACAGCTAGATTTATTTTAGAAAAGGCGGTAGCTCCGCCGTGCTCCACAGTATTAAGCTGTTAGATGAAATGATTTTGTAAATTATATTTTAAAGCTAATCAATAAAGGAACGATCTTCTTACTTACATAAAAAAGAACAGTGGCAATGCGATCGCCAACGGTCTCCACATAAGAGGTCTTGGAGTCAAAATAATCGTTATGGGGCTCGAAATGACCACCGAATCCGTACTTCATGAACTGAATGTCTCGGTCTCCGTGCACATTTAGACCAGTAATGTCACCAACTCTTTGACGAATGCGTCGAAACAGCTGCCGATCTTCGGGTTTCGCATCCTTGCGGGGAATCCACGCCCCATCGGCTGTTCGGCTGGGGGCAAGCTGCTCTATCCTGTTGTCGACACGAAAGACCGTGGTCCTCTCCAAAAATGGTTCACTCATTCGCACCAGCCGTTCCATATCGTCATCGTTTAGAACATTATGATAGAGGACTATATACGGATCTAGCGAAAGTTCTTCCATCCGAAAGGGTGCCAGTTTCAGGAATGGCGACGTAGTTGTATTATAACGACAGTGAAGCCTCGTGATCTTTGATTCATTCGTCTGTCTTCTGCTCACAGAGCGACAGAGACCATCAAAGACCCCTTCGGATTCCCAAGTCTCCAAGTTCAGAGTTGGATGAGGAGGGTTCTCATAGAAGTGCTGGGCGAGTCTATTACCAGCTTCTCCAAACATTGTATCCTTTATTAAGATTTCACGAGCAGTGGATAGACTGCCTAAAAAAAATGTATCGAAAGATTTTAATTTCAATTAATCATTTTTCAACCCACCATTGGCAATTAGAGAACGAGCAAGCAGCAAATTAATTTTTATGTTGGTGAGCCCGATCACCTCGTTGTATTTCCGCGGCATGTTATTAAATAAATTCTTGGCCAACCTTAGCCATTTGGTGGCTATTTGATATCTACCCGCCATGAAGGAGCTTTTTGCCAAGGTATAGCAGTCACTAGCAGATAGGTTGCCACTTTATAAGAAAATTGTATATTTAAAGATGTTTAGAAACGTATTTTAAGTGACCAACCTGTACTGGACCCCATCAACCAATCCTCTGGCTACATCTTTGGGTTCTAAGTCATACGAATGAACTATGCGAATCAAGGCATGAGTTGCCTCATCCAGATCATCCTGCAATGGAAGATCGTTGCGCAGTTTCTCGATTGAAGCAATTTGTCCTAAAATTTATGAGAACATAAAATGAACGCAAAAGGATCTGAGATCTAACCTTGACCCACTGGCTGCCGTATTAATTTCTCTACCGGCTCCCAATCCTCGTGCATTTGACGGAGCAGGGATAAGCTATTTAAAGGATTGGACAGATACTCTACTTCCCTGCCCTTGGCTTCTTCCAAGGACGCTCTGAACTCATTAGCTATCCTACAAACATAAAATGAGTAGTCCGTATTTCATTTATAATTGACTTCCCACTTTTGCAGCTGGTTGATTTTGTCTTGCAGCTCCACCGCATAACTATTGAGTAGGATGATGAGTTCCTTATCCTTTTCCAGCAAGTTCATTTTCTCCTCCGCTGAGGTTACATAGTTTTTGCGACCAATATAGCCCACGTTTACCGAGATTAGGCCAAAGAAGATAGTAACCAATAACAGTAGGGTATAACTTATCATTTCTACGGATTATATCACAAACATCTGTGGGTTGTGTGAAGCTTCAAATGAGTTGTTGACAGTCAGACATCCAATTCGACATATTATACGGTTATTAAAGGTGTAAATAATAAAATTTATGAAATTTATTTTTAACGGAAAATGTATTCTGTTATTCATTCAAAAAATTATTATAATATATTATTTATTACAAAAGCAAAACTAAGAAAATATAGACACTACTAAATTGTTATGAAATTTTTGCAAGATGCAACTTTAAAGTAATTAAAGTTTAGCAAATATCACACTGTAAAGAATGAAATGGTGGGTATATAGAATAAAAATCGCTGAACTCTTTATTTGATTATAAAAATAAAAAATGTATTAAACAAATGATAGATTTTTCTTGCCACTTATGGGTTGAATAAACATTTGATCCCTTTCTTGTATCCAGGCTGCCATGGCTTGAGAAAATGTAACTATTAGCCAAAGATAAAATCAAATTTCTAATACTCACCCCATTTGGAACCATTAAAAACTGGACAAGCTTCATGGAAAGTGCTCTGCCTCACTTTGTGTGTTTCTTCATTTAAATTATACCAGAATATAACCTTTCCTCGCTCCGCAGGTACTTTCATATTTAAGTACGGAAAAATAGTGTCACCATCTTGTGGGTCATCGTTTAGCTGAATAGATAAAAAGGTATTGGGAAATGACTACAAATAAATGGTTTTCGAAGCCTAACAACTCACATAAAAGAAAACGGTGGCGATCCGATCTCCTAAAAATTCAGTTTCCGATTTTGTCGTATTGTAATAGTCATATTGTGAACCGTAGTGAGCACCAAATCCGTACTTGAACAAATTCACAGGATGTCTGTCGCGGATTTTCAATCCAGTGATATCACGTATCCTCTGGGTGAGGTGATCCAACAATGGTCCACCTGTTGGGTCCATATTTTCGTAGGGCAGAGTCACTCCCAAAGCGGTACGTCCCCTGATCCTAGTACCTTCATCATTTCGAAACGCATAGGTGGGTTTCAGTTTCGGTTCCGCCAAGCGCTTTAACTCCTCTATATCTTTATCGGGCAGAATGCCATGGTATACCACGATATACGGTTCCAGAGAGATCTCCTCCATCTTCAGAGGAGCCAGAATCAAAAAGGGTGAATTGATAGTATTATATCGACAATGAAGTCTCGACGGTTTCGGGGAGAACGAGGAACGGCAGAGCTCCTTGAAGTAATCAGGCAAATTGGGCGACATATCATTTGCCTTGTACGGAAAAGAGTCGAACTGGGCCAGCAGAATTGTCGCATTCTCGGCGAGATCGGGCTGTGCCAACAGCAACTTGTGGGCTTCATCCACCTGGCCTGAAAAACAGAAATTATAAAAGTTAATTCGGTACTAAATACTGGACTTAGACTTATCCAGATCCTTATCCTTATGTTAAATTTCTCTTACCACTGAATAAATCACTCACCTAATTCCATTAAGCAGCGGGTCTGCAGCAAAGCCACGTCCTTTTGAGTTACTCCCAGGACTTCATACACATCTGAGTACTGCTCCGTCATTCGGCTTTTTGTATAGCCCAACCACTGGTATGCATTTTTAAAATATCCCCACTTGAAGTACATCTTTGCGATTTGAAAGCAATCCAGAGCTGTAAGTGTGGATCTTTGGAATAATCGGAATTATAAATTATAGGAATTAGGAATTATATAAAAGGATATTTATTTGGGGACTCACTTGAACTGGACATTATCGATAAGACCTTGGGCCATTTCCCAAGGCCTCATTCCATAGGTTTCTGCTATTCCGAACATCGCCCTAGTGGCTTCCTCGATATCCGCCTGCCAGGGTAATTCCGGTAGTTTCTTTTTTAGAAAATCGATTTGTTCTGCAACCAAAGTGAGATGGAAAGGTTTCTTGGAACTCATGTAGGTTTTCTTTCTTACCTTCCCCCACTGGCTTCTTCATAAACTCTTCCAGGTATTTCCAATCCTGGTACATGTGTCGAATAAGTGGAAAACTGTGAAGAGGATTGCCCAGATACTCCTCTTCTTTACCTCTTGCCGCCTCCAGTGGTTGTCTTATTTCTTGAACTATTCTGCTCGAAAAATGTAATACAAAATTGTAAATATGTCAACAGAAATATGTTTATATCCCAAAGATAAGCAGTTTGCATTAATTACTCGTTTTAAAGACCTTTAATAGCTGGGAACGTAAGATATATTTTATAAGCTGTAACACACCTCTGTAGCTTTTCCACCTTTTCCTCGATTTTCTCGGCATATATTTTAAGATTGCTTATCAGTTCGATATCCAATTGCATTAAGTCCATTTTTGCTGATTCCGTGATTAGAAACTCTTTGCGGCTATCAAAATTAATGTAGCCATCAATTTTGCAACATAAATGAAAAATTACGAAAATGTGAACACCTTTAAGCAGCATCATTTAATGACTGATGAGAACGAATGGTCGAAGGGTCCAATATGCGTGATTAAAGTGATTTAACTGTAACTAATTTTTAAATTTCTGTGGAAAACGAAATAAGCAAACGAAAAATAACCCCTTTTTTATAATAACAAAATCTATTTATACAAAAAGACTAAGGATTTTAAATGATTTTTAATTGTGTATAATGACTGCAAGATTCTGCTGGGCTTATGTATAACTATTTAAAGTCTTAAATTTAAACTTGAGCTTTAGCATAGCACGTTAAATATATAAGTAAAATGCCACCCAGCTCGAAACTCGCCATCAATGAAATATCCGCTCATTCTGTCTTCAAAATAAACTTGATCAAAACTGAAAAGAAAGATAAGACAATCAAATATATCGAAAGAAGGATAATCGATAGGATTTACCTAGTCCACTGCCCATGATATTTGGACAAATCGTAGTCGATAGTTCCTCATGCTCGAGGGTGATCAACACACTTCCCCTTTTCGGTTGCACAAAAAGATCTTCTTTTGGCAGTGTAATGGCCCCCCCAAGGACACGTCTTTCAGCTATAAAATAGGCAAACAATTATTGAAAAAACCGGTCAGAACATATGTCAGTAGCACTCACGAATATCATAACAGTGGCCTCGAAATCTACATTCAAAACGTTGAGTTTGGGGAACTGAAATGGGATAAAAACATATTAATAAGTTTTAGTAATCGAATTGTTGCAATACGGTGTCTAATTTAAAACACATAATTAAAATAACGTATAATACAACTTGTAATAAAACCTTTATCTCTCGATTCATTACCTTTTTGGAGTCCCGGAATAGTTTAAAGATTTCAAAGGTCTTTAATTGGGCGTATTCCACTACGAAAAAGGTCTCCCAAGTCGCGTCCATTCCCGTCATGTCCAAAAGCCGCGTTTTGATGCGCTTCATCACCGGACTGTATCCATCGGAGATGGAACACCCGACAATTCCCTTCCGAAGCTCAAATCGGGCATTTGGAGGACAGCGTTCGTAGGCGTTCTTCACGTGAGATATTTCCGATTCGTAGATGCTCCCCGGATAAATGATAGTGTAAGGATCCGCCACCAGCATCTCATACTTTAAGGGAGCATATTCCAGGAATGGAGTGACCCAGGTGTTATATTCGCACTGCAATTGACCGTGATGTGAGGGAACTTCGCCACGGCAGTGGCTTTCCAGAGCGGTGGGACTTGGTTCAGGATCGAGTATGGGTTCCATGGGGTCCCTCAGACTGAGCAACTCCATCTGGCTAAACTCCAGTATAAGATGCACATTCTGGGGATTCAAATTCGTTGCTGATTCATAAGCACCATGCGCGGACTCTCTATCTGAAATGGGTCTTTAAGGTTTACTATTTGATTTGATAAGTGTCAGATATTTATACTCAGTTTAAATAGGGTCCTGGCCAGGTCTCGATACACCTGCCAGCGAGGAGCTCCCAGTAGATCGAACAGATCGCTGTACTTTGAGAGGGTATAATTATGGGCAGCCACTTCGAGCCATTTGGCTGCCCCGAGGTAATCGTGCTTCTCATACAGCTCCAATCCCAAGTGATAGCAGTCCAAAGGGGAAAGATGCAGGGGACTACGGAAAAATATTACAATTTAATTGGAATCTACAGATATCAAGAACTTCCAACCTATTGCGTTCACTTCGGACTACCAGGTCAGCGGGTTCGTAGTCGTAGAACTGGGCCAAACTACTGACATCCTTGGCCGCCTTCTTGAAGGCCACCTCTTTGGGGAGTTGCGGCAGTAGGAGCTCCAGCTTGGCCACCTGATCGGGGCCCACCTGCTCCTCCATGTAAACCTGCCAGCTGACCCAATCCTGATGCATGTGTCTAATCAATCGAAAGGCATTCAGCGGATTTGAGAGGTACTCTTCCGGATCTATTCTGGCCTCGTCTATCTCGCCGATGTACTCTTTCAAAGAACTAAATCAATTTGATGATTACTCCCTTATCAGTATAGCTAGCTCGCTGCCGGAAATGTCTTTCCGGTCGCAGATTAGTTGAAAAACCCACTTGTTTATGATGCCGATTTTCTGCTCCAGCTTTTCGGCATATTCGCGCAGATTCTGCAAGAGATCACGTTCTAAATCTAGCATTCCCCGAATCCGCCTCTCATCGAGGGCCTTGAAACTGGGACAACCCACGATGAGGAGCAGAACAAGTGGCCAAGGTGACACAGTCATGACGATGAGGTGTACCGGGGTAAACTGATCTTTAGGGAAAAGAACACCGTATATAATATGATGTTAATATCTGTGACTAAACGCTTTTAACATACTACTCTTAAAGAAAAAAACTTGGTAAACAAATAAATATTTAGTCATCCTATTTACTGCAAAGATGTATGCAAATTGGTATTGGTTTTATTATTATGAGTTATGCACTAAACAATTTTATAAGTTTAATATTTTTAACGAAAACATAATTCATTTGATAAAAATTTGTTCAAAAACATTAATTTCTTTTCAGTGTGCGTGTCAAACTAGAATTATTTAGGCTTTATCATTATTTCAGTAAATGCAATAGATTTCGAAAGATTCCCATTCCACGTTGTCCATTGAATCCCCGTAAATGGCATGGCTTCTCCATCATTATAGTATAGGCCATTGAGCGCACTGAAATATAAATTTTGTTACATAGTTTATATTTTAAAGTAGTTTTAAATCGAATTTGTATTTATACCTTTGAAAATCGCAATCGGGGTACCACCAACCGCCAGTGTTCTGTGTTTCGCAATCATCTAAGTTAAAATTATCAACAGTGCTGAACCTTGACCCCACCGAATCTACTAAGGAGTCTCCAGCTTTGCCAGAATATTCCCCCACCGATATCAGCTTATAAAATTCGTCATTGCTCCCAATTTTAAAGTCATCATAGCGAGCGTAACTCCTGGATCCATCATGCATTCCTAGCCAAATAAAGAGTTCGTGTTTCACATTTTTGGTCATCTGGTGGATTTTCTCAAGTCCGATAAAAAATTCTCCAGTTAAGCTTCCAAATCCAGCTCTATAATCGTTCCATTTCCGAGCAAAATCAACCGATCCATCCTGTCGTCTTTGAATAACCATCCAACCACTGGAAATGCAGGGAGCTTTGAATGAAAGCAATCCGGGTACTTTCATTTTGTAAATATCATTTTTCTGGCCTATTGGACAACTTTCCGTTCCGCTAAGCATTAAAAGTACTTCGATTATTTTGGTTATTTTTTCCAAATCAGATTTAATCATATCGTTTGGGCTATTGATTTGATCATAAGCGATCGAAATCAGAGCACTAAGATTTTTAGCTTGTGCAGATATGTAATCGATATTCAAATTTTTTAAATTTATAATATCGTCTCTGTTTTTAATTTGACCTTCAGCCATTGCCAACTGACTGCTACAATTTTTAATATTTTCTGTCATACCATTTATCTTCTTATCTTTGTTTTTTATTTGTTTTTCTTGTTCCGCAATTTTGTTAACATTTAATTGTATTAAGTTGTCTTTGTTTTTATTCTGATCACTAAGATTTTTGACTTGTGAAGATATTTTATCGATATCTTTATATATTAATTTTATAATCTCGTCTTTGTTTTTTATTTGTTTTTCTTGATCCGCAATTTTGTTAACATTTATTTGTATTAAGTTGTTTTGGTTTTTATTCTGAGCACTAAGATTTGTGACTTGTGAATTTATATTATCGATATTTTTATTTTTTAATTTTATAATCTCGTCTTTGTTTTTAATTTGACCCTCAGCAATATCCAATTGACTGTTCAGTTTTTTAATATTTTCTGTCATACTATTTATCATGTTATCAATATTTTTTATTATTTTTTCTTGATCCACAACTTTTTTAACCATTATTTGTATTAAGTTGTCTTTGTCATTAATTTGACCTTGAGCATTTTCAAACTGACTGCTCAAATTATAAATATTTGCTGCCATACTATTTATTAAGTTATCTTTGTATATTATTTTTTTTTCTTGATCCGCAACTTTCTGTTTAACAACTGAAAACTCTATCCCCAAATTGTTAATAATACCCGTCATACTAGGTATTATTCTTTGTAGTTCAGTGCTGCTAGCCAATTCCCGTTTTAGATTTTCAATAAAATCGAGGTAAGGTTGGATATCCGAATTATATGCATTTGGCGTCAAGGAGACACTATCTACGAAAGACATCCGCACCGAGACCGAAATCGATAGAAAAAGCACAAAAAACACGGATTTCATAATGTTGAGTATGCGAACTGTTGTACCGTCTGAAGTGAACTAATCTGAATTTTAGGTCGCGACGTATTTTTATACAGAAGCATACTATATTTTTTTATTGTACACGTCAGAAAGAAGTATGTATGCATATATGTACATATCATCTTAGTCACCATTACGATTAAACGGTTCATTGGGATCATAAGCTAATGGAATCCATAACTCAATCTTTGTGTAAACTGTGATATTGACAGAGCCCTGTTATCGAAACAATTTGGCATATAATTTTAACATTATTGACATTTTTTCTGATGTCAAAAAGTATCCTCGATTGACCGCTATTTGTAAGAATTTATATGAATTTATATATTTGTCTGAGACAAGCCCCATAATGTAGGGATTTTCCAAAGCTTATCTGTTCACATCGTCAGTCAATCCACAGTAGCAACAGTGACCCCGACTATTTTTTTTTCCAGAACATAATTAATGTTTTTGACCTTCTGCCCCACACACATTTTGTTTTCTTTGAATTTAATAATTTTTAAAAGCTCTGCGCTGGCTTTCCCCGCTTAGTTATTACCACCAAAATCGCTATCATTTGTTTGGCTAAACTATTTTCAATTCAATGTCAATTTTCCGATACATTTCAAAAACAGCTCGCCTTTTTTTTAAGAAAAAGTATTTAGAATAACTCATCAAGTTTTGAAACCATGATGTTCCGAAAACAGTTATCCTGTTGTTCATCGCAGTTTATTGAGCACTTAGCGAGTACATGCTCCTAACCAAAATTGGCACCTTTTTCATTAGCGGAGCTTTAATCCCTAACAGTGCTGCCAGATTGGCCATTTTTTTTTCAAAATCGATAACATCGCTGATATTCTCCCATCTCTAATAGCGAGAAAATAAATAAACGTTTTAAGCCTGGACTATTTTCATCCTTGATCGCAAATACATTTACAAAAAATTTCACATTACTATTAAATTGCAGAGCGAAGGAAAAAAGAAAGTGTGAAAAGTGTCGAATTGAAGAATCTCTAAAAAATTTACGAAATCATTTGAGTGGCAGGGGAAATACCATTCAAGTGTACCCACTGCACAAGGGCTTTTGAACAGAATTTTAAACTTCAGTGACACTGCTCAAAGACTTTTACCCAAAATACCAATTTTTTTCTTCCCACTGCGCAAAGGATTTTTACCGAAATTCCATTCTTCAGAAGCACATGATAACACACTTTTCCCCATAATTAAAGTTTTCGAAGATACAGCGAACCCTTACTGAAGAAAGATCTTTCAAGGATTTCCACAGCTCAAAAACTTTCTCATAGAATTACCATCTCTACAAAAAATTAATAAAATCATTTACGAGCCATGAGAAATACCATTTAAGTGTATTCTGTGGCAAAAGGGTTCTAAAATATAATTTAGATGTTCAGGATTTTGGTTAAACACACTTTTCCCAAGGATTCAGGTTTTTCCTTAGTACCACCATACCATATAATTGTTTACATGAACAAATATTAAAATATACTATATTATTGATATAATATAACGAAATCTTACGTCCTGTTTTAGTTTACGGCATTGCAACAACGGTGTGAACGCAACAAGAGTTTAGTGTGAAGAGTCATATACATGGCTACGACGAACTATCGCGATTCTTCGTAAGGCCATCACTAAACAAAGCTCTTGGCAATCGATAATAAAAACTCGATTAATCAGCTGTTCTAATTCGACCAAATCGAACTGAATAAGTTGAGAGGATTTTATAGTTTTCGGAAGTGAAAGTCGGAGTGTCGTGCAAAAAAGAGTAATTACTAATTATTCATAGTTGATAGCGAGTGTGTGATTGTGGCTCTGTTTTAACAATAAAATCTTGATCCATTTTTGACTGCCGGTTAACATTTGAAAACAGGATATAGGCAAACAAAAAGAGACTAACTCTTAATATAAACTTACAAACGTCAGAATATACAGTGAAATCCCCAGAAAAACAACAACATGCTGCTGCAGCGGAACAAGTAAAACTTAAAAGCGGCTAATTTCTCGCTTTTTTCTTTGATTTCTCTGTGTTCCATGTATAATTTAATTAGTGTCCCGCTGTTTGCGTGTGTTTGCCTCCTTTTTCATTTATATTTCCATTTTTCCCCTTAACTTTGTTTTTAATCCATTTTTCCCTGTTTTATTCCAGTGCCCGCGAAGATTTTAACCAGGTTGATGGATTTCAATTACTTGTTCTGTTTGTCTAACCAATTTTTTTTTTATCAATTGCGTGCTAACAAGAGATAGAAACCTCACCCCCTTTTTGTTACTTTTTTCTACTGGAATTTGTGTTTGCATTTTATTTTTAGCCTCGCTTTTGTTGTTGTGTTTGCCGTTCTCGTTTTTGTTACTTCATCGCCGTTTGTCTCTCCACTTTGTTTTGCTCTCCACTTTCTGCGCTCTCTCTGTTCTCAGTGCTAAATAAGAGAGTGTACACTGAAAGAACAAATTGTTTTCCTTTTTTTATTTTTTGCACAACATCCCAGCATTTTAATTATTTTTGTTAACATCCTAGCTTTATATCCTAATGAAGTGAAATTGAATTAATTTAAACATAATAAATAAATAACTGCAAGGAATATGTGGAATAATTTTGATTTTAATTTAAACTTGGTTTTAATTTATTTTTAAGATTCATAATTGAGATACAAACAATTTATACATAGGTATTTTGATTTCAATTTCAGCTTTTCTTTAAATCTCACAAATACTTAAAAAGATGAAGAGAGAATACACTCTTTATTAATCTTTCTTTTGTTCCGTGGTTTTTCTAATGCCCACGTTTTCGATCCTCCACTGTTGCTAACTAAAAGAATTGCGAATAAGTTAAGTTAAAATAAAATTAAATTTTATTTATTGAAATTATTCCCAATTGCCCCACTCGTTTCCACTCAAAACGGCAACAGCTGTTTTCAACCACCACCTCATTGCTGCGATCTGGCAACGCCGAATAGGTCTCGCTTTTTGTGCTCCACGTCGCCCACAGTCATTCGCTTTTATTTATAAGAAAAAGAAGTGTAAAAAGTGCCGTCGCACTGGCTTTTTTATTGATTCGGATTCCGAATCGGTGTTAATTGAAAGCGTTAATCAGTCGAGAAGCTCGCTCTTGGTCAGTCGCCAGCAAAGTTGCGCTCTTATCAACACTTTTCGCGCGTGTTTTCCCTGCGTGAGTGAGTGTCTGCTGTATACTGCATTTCCATTTCCATGGAGGTTATAATAATATCGTGTTTGATAAAAGATAAGATAAAAAAGACCGCTAATCCATCTGCTTAGCGCTGAGTGATTGACAAAGGCACTTTTACACTCACGTGCGCTGCGAGTGAAATTCAGTCACACTCAATTTCATTACGGTTCTTTGTTTGCTATATTTACATATGTACAAAACAGTGAATAACCGCATTTAAAATGTGTGATAAAAAACTCACATGTCGCCAAATGAGCGAAATCTGTTATTTTTTTGGTCTCGAGCCAAATTGCGAACAGGCAACAACAAAGCTTCCATAGATAAGCCAAATCACTCAAAAGTGTTGCTCAATCGCGCGACTTGTTGCCCTTCGCTCTTCTGAGTGGAAAGTTGTCGCATAACTGTTTGTTTAGAAGAAGGATATAAAGGAGAGGGGGTGAATTGATTCTAATTGGACTACAACAATAATTGGACAAAACAATAATGTTTACTCAAGGACACTTATAATTTTTAATCTTAAAAGTATATTTACAAGCGAGAATTCTTATCAAATGAAACCAAAAAATTCATACATTTTGTGTTAGCTTTCAGAGATCAGAACCCTGAATACCTTTATAAGGACACTCATTTGTTTAATAATATTTGTAATCGATTGAAAGGAATTCGAAGAATTTGAGGACTCAGATGCTGAACTTATAAAGAGAAAAAATTTATTTATAAACAGAACTCAATGCAGTGGGATTATGGTTTTGACTGTTGTAAATCGATTTACTGTTTAAATATTGCAAAAGATTTATTTTCTTTCAGTAAGCCGATCTGTTAGTAAATTACAAATAATATCTTAGTTTTCTTCTACGTATTTTTACGCAATTTCACTAGTTTTTAAAAAACATCGAAATCTCTGAAACTGAAAATATCAATTAAGCTATTGAAAATCATTTAATATTAAAAAAATATAAAATTTATATGCCTTAAGACTTGAATCTTACATTCAAAGTTGTAGAATAAACAATGAAAAACTACTTATTGATTTTGATCCTACCAACATCAAATTACAATTGTAAATTACAATTTTTTTTGTTCATTGTTATAACTTTTTATTTAGAAAAACAAGCAAGAAGCATAGAAAAGACTTGATTATATCTAAAACAACTTAGCACCCTAAGTTAACGCATCCTTAACGATCGAGATCACTAACCCTTTACCAAATCACCACTCATCCTATCTTCTGTCGGCGGCATCAAAACTGTTGGACTTGAGTTTAAGGCTTCCCCTGGTCAGTTGATTCAAATCGATGATGGAGAGATATGGTTTGGGAGGTACATTTACGGGCAGAGGAACTTCGATAGTGACCGCTGCCGATCTCTTGCTTTTGACACCACCTCCTGCGCCTCCGCCTCCTCCATGGTCACTACCCGTTTTCAGGGCTCCCAAAGCGAAGGGGGAATACTGATCGTGCCCAGGATGTTGGGAGCAACTTGCTGTGGCAGCCCTCCTATAATTTCTATATCCACTGAAACTGCTGCTCCCGGGGGCCAAAGGTCGAGCGGGTGAGAATCCTCCCTCGTCCGAGGATCCACCTCCACCGCCCCCTGAATCGTAGCAGATACTGAGGTTTGTGTAGGCAATGGGGGCGTGGCATCGCGGGGTTTTGGGTCGGGGCTTCACCTCGTAGCGGGTTTTCGAGCGAGATCTAGAGTGGTGGGCATGGCGGTTTCGCCCCCGTCGTTTGCCCCGCACCTCAGTCACTATCGGCATGGGCAGGATGTTGATGAAGCGGTAGTACTGCAGCAGTGTCCTCGCCAGGTTTCTGCCAACGCGGTAGTCTGGAAGACCAAAGCGTTTGATTTGGAACCAAACTGATATCTGCTTAACAAATACTCACATCCGTCCTCGTTGTACAGAGATATAGTCTTTCCATCTTTGAGGTAGTGACCCGCCATGGAGACCTCCAAGGTGTAGGCATTCACCGTATCACTGAGTCTCTCGCAACTGAATCTCCGCATACTGCCCGCCTTTCGTTCATCCGCATTGAACATCGTGTGGTCCGCCACGTAATCCGGAGCATTGCTGGCGAAGAGCCGCGGGAATACCAGGTGCCTCTCGTACCTGTACACATCCTCGTAGGTGTTCCCGTAAATAAAGCAGCCATGCATGCTGCTATTGGCGTGCAGATCGATCACAAAGTCAATCTGATAGGTCTGAAAAAATAGTCACAAATTTAGATTCAGCTTGTACGATAACCATGTGATACTACTTCAATGATTTTTAAAATTAGTAAATAATTATTTATGGGCTATAAAACTGTAAATAGTTACAAGATGAATTTATATGCATAGTTTAAATTACCTACGAAATATAATGAAAGCTGTCTCATTCATTATCTGTCAATTTTCTATTTTTTGACGAATAGTAATTTTGATAATTGAATACTAACACTTAAAACGAAGGTGGTTGTTACTATTATGTTAGGCGATAATATAGAATATCATATATTAAAGTTTCTAGCTGATGACTAATTAGTATTGGTATGATAATTTGATATGCTACCAACTGAGATCGTATACAAAAATCAATCAAAGCGAGTATCACGAGATTATTTGAAATTATGCCCTTAAAGCTTGTACTTACATCCGAATTATCCAACTCCTTTAGCATGCCCTTTACCGCATGCAGTTCCGGCTGCGTGAACTCCGATCCAATGTGCCAGTTGCGATTCATGTCCTGACCCATCAGATTGCATCGATTGTTGCCCAGGAACACCCCGTCCGGATTCACCATGGGCACAATCTTGAAGACGAAGTTCTCCCTCAAGACGCCGGCAATGGGGTGATTGCCCACAAGGAACTCTATTAAACCCTGGCACACATGGGATGCCGGAGCTTCGCTCGAATGCGTCCTGCAAAGGATAACAATCACCCGGATAAAGCTGCGATCCAAACGATTTGTAGAGCGCTGTTTGCAGGTCACATGGTCGATGGTCAGCAGGTCCACATTGCGATTTTGCTTGAATAATACGACTAAAAATCTTGGGGAACACTTTTGGCAAGATCCTCTTAGTACTCACCAACGATTTTATAAGCACACATCGAGTGAACCGCTTATCTGCTCCCTGTCTGGCATCAATTACATTCAAATACGACTGCAAACGGGAGTAACTATATGGCCAGGCCAATGCAAACTGATAGACATCCTCCTCCTTGTCGAAAATGAAAGCAAAACTCAGCACATAATGTCCTTGATGCATGGCCGATCGGTAGAAGAACACTTGCCGCTTGGACAACCTCTGCCATTTTGGTCGGCTGGAACTTTTCACCAATGGAGTCAGTCCCGATGAAAACAGATTCCTGCTCTTGCTGATGTTTACAATATGGAAGAGCACTCGCTGATCTTGTTTCACATTATCCACGGTGAAGTTGAACCAGAAGCGAAAGCGCGGATTACAGGTGTCTGGTCTCAGAAACAAATCGTACTCGAATTCGCCCACCAGCTCCGCTTTTCCGAGGTTTCCTGTTTCGAATGCCGCATCGAAACAGAGATGACCTCTCTTGGCCTTTCCACTTTGACCGGGCGGTCGGATGATAACCCGGGAAACGTTTCCCAGGCCGCCCTCTCCATCGCTATCTTCGCTATCTGTAAGGGAATAACAATTTAAAAGAGTTAGCTACGGTATTTCTCCTTGAAAAATAATATAATATAATACTGAAAAGAACTAAGTACTAGTAGTCTTGAATTCTGAATTTGTTGATAAGAATCAAAAACTAAACTTAAACAAACAATCAAACATTCTCAAGAATACGAATTGGTTCTTGATCTCAGCCTTTGTAATCTAAGTTGACTATCACTTTTGGAGCTCGCACTACTTAATTTCTAAATTTAGATCACTTTTAGTACCATCTGAGCCGCGTTCGTACATGCTCGTGTGCTGGAGCGGATCGCAGGCTATTCCCAACATGATGACTCTTTTCCGCTAGTGCGTCTTTCTCTGGCAAAAATCTAGGTTCTTCTATTGCAACTGAGTCGAGTGTTGTGGCCCTAATCCTTCGAGGTTTCTGCCTCAGCCTGGCCTGTCATAACTTTCTTGGCCTGAGGTGCCTAGTCCTTCTAATCCCACCCAGCTGCTATCTTTAAACCAATGCATCTTCTCCTCATCCCGCTCCTTCTTTCCTTGTGCCACATATGCGTGCCGCAAGTTTCCATTGCATTCGCTGCACCTGCCAACGCCTTTTAGTTGAGCTTCGAACAACTCGAGACGTCAAACGTCTAAAATTGAATAGTCGCCTCGCGGTTGCGTCGGCCCCCAAACCCAAACCAACAAAATCCTGAGTTGAGCGCCGGAGGTAAATGTCTGGAGACTTGAAAGGTCTTGAAATAGCTTCATTTATACCCTAACTGGAAGTATAATGACTTTTGGTAGGGATGATTAAGTCAATGTTTCCCTCATGGTTTTACCTATGTATTTATAACTGGTTTAGAAGCCTTTGACAATACCTAAGCTATTTTTCTACTGCAAATTTAGTTTCCTTAATTTACCTACACTTATTCTGAATAAAATCTATAAAGGCTCTTTACCCAAAGATTGTAGATTATTGACTTAATTTTTTTCGAATACATTGCTTTTCTTTACTTGAGTTTTTAAAATAGTATATTTTTATTAGCCTTAGTGCATTTCACCTTCATTCTGCGGGGGAATTCCCTTAAACTCTTATCGGTGGCGCACATTTATGGCAATTTCACTCACCTGAATCGCCCATTCCGCCGTCTCAACCCATAAACTTCTCTTTGCTTTGAGGCTGCTTTCTTTGGAGTGGCAGCTCAGTGACCTGACCCGGGGCAGGATCGAAAATAGAAATTCAATTAGCGAACGCCTCCTTAGAGCGCCGACATGGGCTTTCACTTTTCTCGAGTGGGTCTCCAAGACGGGGAAGTCGCGTGCGAAGTCTTGGCGATGGAGGTCGATCTCTATCTGCTAATCCTGGGCAGCTCCTGGTCGCTCCTCGCCGCTTCCTCCGCACCGCACAGACTGCCTTGGAATCCGGGCTGCGGATTCCGGAACCGTGATTCGCATGTTGGCACTTTGACGTTGCCACGCCACTCACGTGTGTCGCCTTCTGTTTGGTCGATAATTCGCAGTAGTTTCCGGCTAGGGGCTTTGCTTCGCCTGTGGTTTTCGGTTCCGCCGCAGCGAGAGCAGTTTCCAGAACTGGGCAACCGAGAGGAGAGGCAGTACTAATTGCGTTGAGCCGGGGGCTATTTGGTTCACTGGGGCTAATCGATACGGTCGCACATCGCAACGTGGGAACCGTAACGACTGCGTGTGTGTTACTTTAACGATTATGTCAGTGAATGAACCCGCCAACACCCCATTTTCTTAACATCTTAACTCCTAAACCAAAAAACCCAAGTCAGCATGTCCAAACGCAGGTAGCTTTTCTTAAACATCTTTTTAATGTTTTGTTATGGTTTTGTTTTATCCTTTCCTTATATTTTTATTGTTCTAATCGTTTGAATCACTTACAGATTAGGCAGCGTAAGGCCACCAAAGCGTTGCAGGAGCGACATGGACAATACATCCACCTCGGACATTGTCATTATCAATGGCAACTCGCATCCGGATCTGGCCAACATGGTGGCCGAGCGTATGGGCATTAAAAATGGAGGCTGCTCTGTGTTCCACAAGTCCAATCGGGAGACTATTGTGGAGATTAGTGATTCCGTAAGAGGCAAGGACATCTACATTATCCAAACGGGCACTAAGTAAGCATTAAATGAGTATTTCGTATCAGTTTGTTAACTACCCTCTTTTTGTCATAAAGGGACGCCAACAATAACATTATGGAGCTGCTGATCATGGCCTATGCCTGCAAAACTTCCTCGGCCCGTTCGATTGTGGGAGTGATTCCATACTTGCCGTATTCCAAGCAATGCAAGATGCGCAAGCGCGGTTGCATCGTGTCCAAGCTGCTGGCTAAGATGATGTGCACCTCGGGCCTGACGCACATCATCACCATGGATCTGCACCAGAAGGAGATCCAGGGATTCTTCGACATACCTGTGGACAATCTGAGGGCATCGCCCTTTCTGCTCCAATATATTCAGGAGAGCGTGAGTACTTTAAGTTCTCTAACCTAAGGAAAGAATCAAACTTAAAACACATTGTAGATTCCTGACTATCGCAACTCGGTGATTGTCGCCCGCAATCCGGGCGTGGCCAAAAAGGCAAATTCCTATGCGGAGCGACTGCGTCTTGGCCTGGCCGTCATTCATGGAGAACAGAAGGAGACGGATGCCGATGAGGTCGACGGTCGGTACTCCCCTCCTCCGACCAGGTGAGTTGCATTCCCCTAATCTTGGAAGCAGGCTTCGCTGATTTTTTTAAGTTGTAAAGTTTTTTTAAGGCTTCTGTTTGATCTAGTACTTATTTAATTTTGGTTTGCTGTTAGCTTGTTTTGTTAGTTTTCGGGTCCGTAAATGACAGAAGCTGGACGAACTTGAAATCGATTATTTTGCATTCTGCACTACACCCTGTTTCGTTTATCAAAGATCACTCGAATGTCGACCATCCATTTGTTATATTAAGTGTTATGAATAGAGCATAACGACTCAATACATTTTTAATGGCTACAGTTTCCAAAGGGGTTTATTCCTATAAATACCTGCTGCAATCTAATTATTAACATGATATTGATTGAATAAAACAATCTTTATTGGCAGTTTTTATAATACCGCTAATAAAGTGGTAAGTTAATAGTTTTGATAAGAAAACTAACTTTTAACTTGTTTTAATTCATATATACCTGGAAACTTTTTTAAGCCCCTAACTTGTATATTGTTTTAAAACGCACGTTACCATTAAATCACAATCGCCATGACATAAGTGTTGCAATATTCTTCAATGGCTTATGTTCGTACTCCACAGCCAGGGCTGACACGTTTTTGTAGATTTTTGAGCTATATCTGCTTTATCTTATTTGACCGCTTTATTGACTTTTGAAGTGTTTTTGTATTTTGCGTTTTGGAAATATTATTGCTTTATTTTTACGCTCCCCACATGCCACAAAAACCTCGATACTTTTTGGTGGGCATGGGGAGCAGTCCACTTGTCAAAATTTTAAATTCAAAAAACAGAAAAACAATCGAAATTTCTCTTTATTTGTGTTATGCAGTGCGTATAGCAATTTATTAGGAAATTCAGTTGAAATGTGCTTACCAGCGGCGCCTAGGTTCGTATTTTTAACTATTGTTTCATTTCATTTAATTTATAATTTTTAATCAATTGACATTTGTACTTTTTTCCACCAACCCACGCCACTCCACAAATACCCCAACCCACCCACATGATTCTTTTCTTTTTTGGTTTCGATAACGGTTCGACCAACCAATGAAATACACCACCAAAAACCAACCCACAATGTACCACAATGTACCACAATGCACCACATTGCACCACTCGAACCACAAACCTCGTGAAACTTCCGCACACTAACCACTAGAAACTCTACTCCACAACACGCCCCAACCAGCAGCAACCGGCAGCGAACCACCTCGGTTTCGGTGGGTGTTCCGGAGCACATTGTCAAGGTGAAGCCACCACTGACCATTGTGGGAGATGTCAGCGGACGCATCGCCATTATGGTGGTAAGTATTCGTTTCCTTCCGAAATATATTTTGCGTGTGGAATGCCATTTTATTCATTTTCATTTACCTTTACTATTTCAGGATGACCTGATCGACGATGTGCAGGCCTTTGTGGCCGCCGCTGAGATGCTGAAGGAGCACGGAGCCTGCAAGATCTACGTGCTGGCCACGCATGGTCTGCTCAGTTCGGATGCACCGCGTCAACTGGATGAATCGCCTATCGATGAGGTGTGTCCCAGAGTGTATTTCCATAAAAATCACTTGTAATCTGATTATATATTCTACCCTACAATAGATCGTTGTCACCAATACCATTCCACACGAGATCCAGAAGCTGCAGTGCCATAAGATCAAGACGATCGACATCTCCATTCTGATTGCTGAGGCTATACGCCGTATCCACAACAAGGAGTCCATGTCCTATCTTTTCCGCAACGTAACGCTGGAGGATTAGTGTGCATATCCACTCATAGAACCACTCACAGCCCCTAGTTCACCGCTTGAAGTCACAAAAATAGTGTTGCATCCGGCTCGTTTTGGGCCGGTACTTGTTTGTTTATCGCTTTTAGACGCCATTGGAAAGTGCGCCCAGCGTGCGTTTGCTCAAATAAAAAAAATGAATGATCCAACATACTGTAGCATACTTATAGGCCCGACACTATACTCCACACTGTACTACACGTTGTACGTTCATCGAAGGTTAATCACTTTCTTCTAGTTTGTAAGTCTAAGATCCCACAACTTTGTCCAAATAAAAGCTGATTGTACTCAACTGTGGAAAGTTTGGGGCCTCATAAAAGTTCAATCGGGGCACTTGACGCTTGTCTGAATTTATGGTACCTGTCGAAATGGAACACGCTTAATTGAGTAGCCGTAGCCGTCCAAGTCATAAATAATTATATGGACGGACATTAGTTGCAGACGTAAAGTCACTCGCTTTGCATTCTGCGTTCGCCTGGTACGCAAATAAAGTACCAGGCAGATGTCTCACATCGCTCTAATTTGACAAATATTGTTGCGGAAACGAGTGCAGCACAGATAAGATAGTGCATGCATCTCCGTGCAATTCCTCGTGACAAGAAAACCGGAGAATCCCGCTTCGGCAAGTGGCTCATACATAAATCATGGTCCATTAATCAAGCATCAGATATGTCAGTCCCTATCTTACAGCACCTCGAAGTCGGTAAATTTGCATTGCTAAATGCCAGAGGGACGACCGAAGAATGCGGTTCCAGCGGCGGTGACGAGACCGTCTGATATTGGATTGGATTCATAAACACAATATTTGGGCCGGCCCATTGGCGCATATTTGCTAGGTCTCTGCCTAGGCCAAGTGCGATAAACTCAGCGCTGTTTGCCCGCCAGAAAGTCAAACAGAAATTGTGCTACGCTTTTCAGCGTGACACTTGCTGCTTTTTTTTATCGCAAACAAAAACATTGCAAAGCCCAAGCTAATCCCACCAATCTCAGGCACCTGCTGGATTTGAATTGAATAAGGCGGCATAAACAAATGCAAATCAAGCCCTAGCCGAGATCGAAGGGGTATCTTGAATTTCTCAGGTAACAACAACGAGTCACGTGAAGCAGCCGCATTGCGCATACGCCATGTTAGCCCTGTTTTGTTTTGCTTCGGCGTGCATTGAACCGACTTCCGTCAGGGATTTTATACCTACACCACCTATTAACAGTCCATCACATTTTACTTTTAATAGAGCCTGTCGGCTAATTTGTTTTATCATTCCCATGGCATTCCAATTGCAATGCCAATTGTTTGTACCCGATAACTGTTGACTCTGTTTGTTGTTTCCGCTTTTTGTTCCTCTTGTTTGACTTTTTGTTTA